AAGTGTTCAAGTCGATGTCGTCTTCGAGTTGAAGCTTTATAACTTTCCAATCTTAAGGTGGACATATGAGTCCCTTTGCACCTTAAGTTGGCCTCTTCGCGTGTTGGTCCTTAAAATGAGCTATAACTTTCCAATCTTAAGGTGGACATATGAGTCCCTTTGCACCTTAAGTTGGCCTTGCCGAAAGTCGGGTCGTTTTGAGAGTAATCTCTCCGATAGTCAGGCCACATTGAGAGTAATCTCTCCGATAGTCGGGCCGTTTTGAGAATAATCTCTCCGATAGTCAGGCCACATTGAGAGTAACCTCTCCGATAGTCGGGCCGTTTTGAGAGTAATCTCTCCGATAGTCGAGCCACATTGAGAGTAATCTCTCCGATAGTCGGGCAAGGATGAGTACTCATCCCCTCACACCCCAAGATTGTCTTCTTCATGCATGGATCATCTCGTTGAACAAGAACATATCTTTCTCGCTTGACCTACAAAAAAAATGACAAAAGAAGAAAAGCACAAGAAAAGAAGAAGAAATTACCTTCTCGTCAATGCTTCCAAGTCGTCAAAAGTAGACCCAAGTGGCTTGCAAATACTGCGAATTGATGCTAACAAATACGAGCATACGGGTTTATATAGGCATGGCAGAGACAACTTAAACGAGTAACTTTCGATGTGGGATAGCTGTTCCAATTTGCATTATAACAGGACTTTGTACTCAAGGCGGCGAACATTTCCTAATTACATGCAAATTGGAAAAGGGGCGTTCGCAGTGTTATAATTTTAGTAAAGTAAGGAAAGATATCCTAGCTGACTCCTTCGATGGTTACAGCTAATGAACTAGCTTAAGTGACTTCTTATGTCATAGCTATCCAAAGATCAAATAAAGTGTCATACAAGTTTAGGTGAATCGTAACTTAGGTTTACGGAGAAAAGAGGCATGTTACTTGGCTGGGAGATCAAAGTGAAGACATAATTGTCTTACTCCAATGTGAATGCAGTATTTTTTTTTTTAAAAAAGTATCTGCCTCGATTGAAATAAACCCGAGCTAATACTTCAAGCCTAGTCTTTAAAAGTTTAAAAACCTTGACGAGTCTTGAAGTAGGGGGCAATTTTAGGCATATAAAATTTATTGATTTCAAATTCAATAAATAATTTGGATTATATTTTATATATATTAGTCCAAATAAATATTTTGGGCTAATATAATCGGGTTAATTATATAAGACCAATATTATTGGGCTAGCTCATTTAATTGGGCTAAAGTAATGATCCCACTTCATTAAGCCCAATATGCCATCTTCCTAGAGGCCCAATTTGGTGCCACGTGTTAAATGACGTGGCGCACCTAGTCAAACGGAAGAACCAATAGGATCATGCCATGTGGCACAATGACAAGGCATGCCAAGTCACACTAAAATGCCAATGAAACTGTGCCACATGTGCAAGTGACATGTTCTGGCCAATCAAATGCGGCCATGTAACACTTCAATTTGATTGGTCAGAAAGAGTTTGTTCTTATCACAACTCCTCCCTTCCACAACTATAAATAGGGGTCTTCATAACCTAGAAAAGACACCAGAAGTTATAACAAGAAGCGGGAGAGAGCTCGTGGATCAAACACTACAAATTTCTCCACAAGTTTCAAGCTTCAAGCAGTCAAGTTTCAATCATCAAGCAATCAAGTTCAAGCTCAAGAACGAGAACAAATCAAGTTCAAGCTCAAGAACGAAGAACAAATCAAGTTCAAGCTCAAGAACAAAGAACAAATCAAGTTCAAGCTCAAGAACGAAGAACGAATCAAGCTCAAGTTCAAGCAATCAAGCTAAAGCTCAACAACAAGATCATCGTTCGTGGAGACAACTACATATTCAAGATCAAGCTCAAAGGCCCTTGAATTTATTTACTATTGAAAAGAAGAATCAGAGGAATCATAGAGATTGTACACTCAAATATTCGAAATCAAATTGTGACGACCCAAAGGGGTCATCACCTGTTTCCTCATTCGTTCCGTGCTTCCGAGGCCTTGAAAACCTCATTTTTACTTGCCTCGATTTACGTGCGCAGTTCGGGCGCATAGCCGGAAAGCTTTTATATTGAAATGTGAATTCTGTGAAAAATTTGAAGAATTTTGACATTAATCTGATTACAGTTGACTTTGGTCAACATTTTTGGTAAACGGACCCGAACCCGAGATTGGACGGTCCCGGAAGGTCCGTAGAAAAATATGGGACTCGGGCATGTGCCAGAAGTCGAGTCCCGAGGTCTAGAGTCCGAGGAAAGAATTTTTCTGAGAAATTGTTTTTCTAAAATTTGTTAAGGAAAATGGAAATGAAAATTTATTAAAAGACTGTGGTATCGGGCTTGTATTTTGGTTCCGACGCCCGGTACAAGTCTTATATATTGTTTAAGTGTTTTTTGTGAAATTTGGTTGAAATCGGACGTCGTTTGACGTGTTTTGGACCTAAATATCTAAAGTTAGAAGTTTATGAAGTTTGAAATGAAAATGATGATTTTGAGGCTTGATTCAATGACTTTGATGTTATTTTGGCGATTTGATCGCTCGAGTAAGTTCGTAGGACGTTACTGAGTTAGTGTGTGTGATTGGTTAGGGGTGTTTTTGGCCTTAGAGTTGTTGCAGAAGTTCTGCTTCTGGTGTTCAGAGAATTTGTTCTCTGCGATCGCGATTCCATTCCTGCGATCGCATAGAGTCTTCTCCAGGCATTTCCAAATTTCTTCAACGCGATCGCATAAGTTGTCACGCGATCGCATAGTCTGTCCAGTCTCTTCAATACGATCGCACTCACCTCTACGCGATCGCACAACTTTACACTTCACCCAAAAGTCCTGGCTTCCCTTCTTCTACGCGAACGCATGAATTGTTCTGCGATCGCGGAAGCCAAGCTTCCACTCCTCTATGCGTTCGCATCAATTGCCCCGCGATCGCATAGACCAAAAGCGCCCAGTTATTTTAAAGCCTAAAAACAGAACCAGTGACGGGATTTCTTCATTCTTTCACACGAGCTCTCCTCTTAAACCCTCCATAGACGAAATTCAAGCTCTCCTTCCTCCCTAACTCTTTGGGTAAGTAATCTTAACATCATTCCCTCATTATTTATTCATCTAATTACTAATTTTCTAGCCCTAAATCATGAAAACAAAGTAGAAATTATGGGTTTTGGGTAGAGTAGGGTTTTGAGAATTTTGGGTGATTCAACCTCAATTTGGGGTCGAATCTTAAAACAAATTATGTATTTGGACTCGTGGGGTTATGGGTGATCGGATTTTGGTCCGAGCCTCGAGTTTGGAACATGTGGGCCCGGTGTCTAATTTTGGTATTTTTGGAAGAATGCTAGAAAATTCATATCTAGACTATGGGATGTTGCTATTGAGTCTTTATTGGTATTATTGAATTAATCATGCCTAGATATCACTGTTTCGGAGTCGGATTGTAGAGGAAAGGCGGTCTTTGAAGGTTGATTGCTATTCTTGGGACCGAGGTAAGTGTTTGGTTTAACCCTAGCTTGAGGGAATAAGAGTTGAGTCTTGTTGCTAATTGCTATGTGATCAAGTACGATGTATAGGCATGGTGACGAGTATCTATACATTGGTGTCTAGCATGGCCGTGAGTCCTTAAAATGCGATTATCATGAACTGATTGTGAATTCCATGTTTATTGGAGTATTTCTATATGTTGTGAACTACATGTGAATGATGATATGATAATTTGATTCCTAGGAGCATTGGCTCGAATTGTGATACGAATATTGAAAGTATATGAAATGACTTGTTTCATTGAGGAGCGTCGGCTCCAGTTGTGGAACGAATTGTGAAAGTAAAAGTGAGAAAGAGAAGAGATCATTATGTTGCCCTCTTGACGGGCTATTGTTGGGTTGTGATTCCTCTGCATTGTGTTCTTGACGGATACTAGGGTCGCTTAGGTTAATGTTTTCCTTGTGTCGTGGGATGATTATAGTTATAGCTGAGGTGGTTAAGCAACATAATAGGCTAGTTATCAATGGGGTGGTTAGGTGAGGTAATCGGCTAGATATAGCTGAGATGGTTAAGTGTGGTCATAGTTTGGGTATAGCTGTGGTGGTTAGATGTTGGAACTAAGGTGGTTATAGTAATCCCCTTGCCGGAATATTTGAGATGATGTTTTGTTCCCTTATTGGGAAGTCGTTATATTGTTGTTTGTGACGGAATATGAGATAAGAAATTTCTTGGAGCTTGGGCTCCAGTGATATCGTAAGATAAGAAAAGTAAGAAAGAGAAAGCGTTGTTGATTATTCCCTTGCCGGGACGTTTGGTTGAACTTGTTGGATTCTTTCCCTTGCCGGAATATTTGTCAAATATTTGCTTATTTTTATGCCCCTTAATTGTGACTGTTGTTTGGGGGGGGGGACTGTTAAATGATATGGGGGGGGGGGGTCGGACTGTAAAATGATATTGAGGATCGGGTTGCGCGCCGCAACAACGATATTGAGGATCGGGTTGCGCGCCGCAATAATGATATTGAGGATCGGGTTGCGCGCCGCAACATTGATATTGAGGATCGTTTGCACGCCGCAACAGTAAAAGGTGAGGATCGGGTTGCGCGCCGCAACAATGATACATGATAAGTGATATGGGTCGGGTTGCATGCCGCAACAGTGGTATTTGTTGAGCGGGTTGCACGCCGCAACAATAGTAATTATGGAGCGGGTTGCACGCCGCAACAGTTATTGAGGCTATGTGTTTGTATTTGAGTATTAATTCTTGTTCATTGTGAACCTAAGCTGTTTTAGTTGTTACTCTGGATTGCTGATAATATTGTATCTCCCCTTAGCATGTCTCCCCTCCCATGTTGTTAATTACTTGGTATTCGATTTCCGCTGTACATTTATAACTACACAGGTTTATGTGATGTCCAGTCTAGCCTCGTCACTACTTCGCCGGGGTTAGGCTAGACATTTACCAGCACATGGGGTCGGTTGTGCTGATGCTACACTTCTGTGCATTTTTTGCACAGGTCCAGGTTTTGAGGAGCAACAGCAGTAGTAGTACGGGAGCAAGCTTTCATTATCACGAGACTGAGGTAGCCTTGCAGGCGTCTGCAGGCCCGGCGTCTCTTCTTTATGTTTTCCTTTTTGACTGTTGCCTCATTGTTTTCAAGACAGACAGCTGTTATATTTCTTTCAGACCTTTGTATTTAGTTCATTCTTAGTGGTTCGTGAGTAATGTGACACCAAATCTTGGGTAGAGGCTATTGTTGACTATTCTGCGTTTTGATTCAGACTTATAAATTAGACTTCCGCTATTGTTATTATTGAATTCCATATTTCTTATAGATGCTAAAGATTGTTAACAGATTTATTTATTAATGAAAGGTAAATAAGTTGGCTTGCCTAGCTACCACGAGTAGGCGCCATCACGATCCCGATGGTGGGAAATCCGGGTCGTGACAAGTTGGTATCAGAGCACTAGGTTACATAGGTCTCACAACTCACGAACAAACTTAGTAGAGTCTGAGGGGTAGGTACGGAGACGTCTGTACTTGTTCCCCAGAGTCTATTGAGTTAGGAAAAATCTCTCATCTGTTCTTTCTTGTCGTGCGATTTGGTTTCTTAAATGCTGATTGAATTTCCACTCCGTTCTTTTACGAATGGCGAGGTCATGTACCGCTTCTTCAGCTGAGCAGCAACACAGACCAGTGATAGATCAGCTACGTCTTCGGAGGCTTTGTGGAGATAAAGGTGTTAGAGGTGGATGTAGAGATGCAAGAAGTGGAGGTAAAAGTATTAGAGGTGGAGGTGCAGGTACTGCTCTGGCTTGTGGTAGAGAAGCTTCGGTCTTAGTTTGCACGTATCGGGTCATGCCCAGTGATTCTTTGAGTGCCTTGTTTATGTGTCTACGCCGGTGAGCGATTTTGTTATGGTGGATTGCGTCCATTGTTCAGGTATAGTGGGTATTGACGATTTTGAGACCCGTGTTGATTTACTACAATTAGATATGGTGGAATTCGACGTCATATTAGGGATGGATTGGTTGTCCCCGTATCATGCCATCTTAGATTATCACGCCAAGACCGTGAACTTGGCTTTACCAGAATTGCCCCGACTAGAGTTGAGAGGGGCCTCAGGTCATGCCACTCGCAGAGTTATTTCATATGTTAAGGCTCGACGCATGGTCGAGAAGGGGTATTTGGCTTATCTGGCATATGTCCGTGACTCCAGCACAGAGGTTCCTTCTATTGACTCTGTTCCTGTTGCTCGAGAGTTCCCCGAGTGTTTCCTTCAGACCTGCCGGGTATGCCGCCCGACAGGGATATTGATTTCTGTATTGATCTGGCTCCGGGCACGCAGCCCATTTCTATTTCGCCGTATCGCATGGCCCCGCCAGAGTTAAAAGAGTTAAAGGACCAGTTGCAGGATTTACTAGAGAAGGGTTTTATTAGGCGTAGTGTTTCTCCTTGGGGTGCGCCGGTATTATTCGTGAAGGAGAAGGATGGTTCGATGCGGATGTGTATTAATTACCGGCAATTGAACAAAGTGACGATAAAGAACAAGTACCCACTGCCGAGGATTGATGATTTGTTTGACCAGCTTCAGGGAGCAAAGGTGTTTTCAAAGATAGACTTGAGATCTGGCTACAATCAGCTGAAGATTAGGGCGTCTGATGTCCCTAAGACAGCGTTCCGCACTCGGTATGGGCACTATGAGTTTTTAGTCATGTCATTTGGTTTGACCAATGCCCCAGCAGCATTTATGGAGTTGATGAACCGAGTGTTCAGGCCATATTTGGACATGTTCGTGATAGTCTTTATTGATGATATTTTGGTGTACTCCCGCAGCCAGGAGGAGCACGAGCAGCACCTTAGAGTGGTTCTTCAGACTCTGAGGGATAGTCAGTTGTATGCCAAGTTCTCCAAGTGTGAGTTCTGGCTGAGTTCAGTTGCATTCCTGGGTCACGTTGTATCAACTGAGGGTATTCAGGTGGACCCAAAGAAGATAGAGGCAGTCAAGAATTGTCCTAGACCAGCATCAGCTACAGAGATCCGAAGTTTCTTGGGATTGGCAGGCTACTACTGACGGTTCGTGGAGGGATTTTCATCTATTGCAGCCCCGATGACCAGATTGACCCAGAAGGGTGCCCAGTTCAGATGGTCGGATGAGTGTGAGGCGAGCTTTCAGAAGCTCAAGACAGCTCTGACTACGGCACTGGTGTTGGTTCTGCCCACAGGTTCAGGGCCCTATACTGTTTATTGTGATGCTTCCCGTGTTGGGCTTGGAGCAGTGTTAATACAGGATGGCAAGGTCATTGCCTATGCTTCGAGGCAGTTGAAAATTCACGAGAAGAATTATCCGGTTCATGATCTAGAGTTGGCAGCGGTTGTTCATGCTTTAAAGATTTGGAGGCATTATCTATATGGTATGACGTCTGAGGTGTACACGGATCACAAGAGCCTGCAGTATCTGTTCAAGCAGAAGGAGTTGAATGTGAGGCAGAGAAGATGGCTAGAGTTGTTGAAAGATTATGATGTTACTATCTTATATCACCCGGGTAAGGCCAATGTGGTGGCCGACGCATTGAGTAGGAAGTCTGCCAGCATGGGTAGCCTTGCGTATATTCCGGTCAGCCAGAGACCGCTTGCTTTAGATATTCAGGCGTTGGCCAATCGATTGGTGAGATTAGATATTTCTGAGCCCAGCAGAGTGTTAGCTTGCACGGTCGCTCGTTCTTCTCTATTGGAGCGTATCCGCGATCGGCAATTTGATGATCCCCATTTGTGTGTCCTAAGAGACACGGTGCAGCGTGGAGGTGCCACGAAGGTGACCTTAGAGGATGATGATGTTTTGAGATTACAGGGTCGAGTTTGTGTGCCCAATGTTGATGGGATTCAAGAGTTGATCTTAGCGGAGGCCCATAGTTCTCGGTACTCTATTCATCCGGGCGACGCGAAGATGTATCAGGACTTGCGGCAGCATTATTGGTGGCGTAGGACGAAGAAGGATATAGTTGCACATGTGGCTCGGTGTTTGAATTGTCAGCAGGTCAAGTATGAGCGTCAGAGGCCCGGTGGTTTGTTTCAGAGGATTGAGCTTCCCGAGTGGGAGTGGGAAAGGATTACCATGGATTTATACTGGACTTCCGTTGACTCGGAAGAAGTTTGATGCTATTTGGGTCATTGTTGATAGGCTGACCAAGTCAGCGCATTTCATTCCAATGGCAATCTCCTATTCATCCGAGAGGTTAGCTGAGATTTATATCCGGGAGATTGTTCGCCTTCATGGTGTGCCGGTATCTATCATTTCGGACCGGGGTACGCAGTTTATCTCGCGCTTCTGGAGAGCGGTTCAACAAGAGTTAGGTACCCAAGTTCAGTTGAGCACAGCGCTCCATCCTCAGACGGACGGTCAGTCCGAGCGGACTATTCAGATCTTGGAGGATATGCTCCGAGCTCGTGTCATTGATTTTTGGAGGCTCGTAGGGTCAGTTTTTGCCTTTAGCAGAGTTCGCCTACAATAACAGCTATCAGTCCAGCATTCAGATGGCTCCATATGAGGCGTTGTATGGTAGGCGATGTCGGTCTCCAGTCGGATGGTTTGAGCCGGGAGAGGCTCGGTTATTGGGTACAGACTTAGCTCAAGAGGCCTTAGATAAGGTCAAGATTATTCAGGAGAGGCTTCGTCCAGCTCAGTCTAGGTAGAAGACTTATGCAGACCGTAAGGTCTGAGATGTAGCTTTCATGATTGGTGAGCGAGTATTGCTCCGGGTGTCGCCCATGAAGGGCGTGATGAGATTCGGGAAGAAGGGCAAGCTTAGCCCTAGGTACATTGGTCCGTTCGAGATTCTCGATCGAGTAGGAGAGGTGGCTTATAGGCTTGCATTGCCACCTAGCTTATCAGTCGTGCACCTAGTTTTTCATGTGTCTATGCTTCGAAGATATCACCGCGATCCTACCCATGTATTAGACTTCAGCACGGTCCAGTTGGACGAGGATCTGTCATATGAGGAGGAGCCGGTAGCTATTCTAGACCGGCAGGTTCGACAGCTGAGGTCGAAGAGTTTTCCTTCTGTTCGTGTTCAGTGGAGAGGTCAGCCCCCTGAGGCCTCGACCTGGGAGTCCGAGTCTGACATGCAGAGCCGTTATCCACATCTATTCCCTGACTCAGGTACTTCTTTCTTTTGTCCGTTCGAGGACGAATGGTTGTTTTAGAGGTGGAGGATGTGACGACCCAAAGGGGTTATCACCTGTTTCCTCATTCGTTCCGTGCTTTCGAGGCCTTGAAAACCTCATTTTTACTTGCCTCAATTTGCGTGCACAGTCCGGGCGCATAGCCGGAAAGCTTTTATATTGAAATATGTGAATTCTGTGAAAAATTTGAAGAATTTTTACATTAATATGATTACTGTTGACTTTGGTCAACATTTTTGGTAAACGGACCCGGACCCGAGATTGGACGGTCCGGAAGGTCCGTAGAAAAATATGGGACTCGGGCATGTGCCCGGAGTCGAGTTCCAAGGTCTAGAGCCCGAGGAAAGAATTTTTCTGTGAAATTATTTTTCTGAAATTTGTTAAGGAAAATGGAAATGAAAATTTATTAAAAGACTGTGGTATCGGGCTCGTATTTTGGTTCCGACGCCCGGTACAAGTCTTATATATTGTTTAAGCGCTTTCTGTGAAATTTGGTCGAAATCGGACGTCGTTTGACGTGTTTCGGACCTAAATATCTAAAGTTAGAAGTTTATGAAGTTTGAAATGAAAATGATGATTTTGAGGCTTGATTCAATGACTTTGATGTTATTTTGGCGATTTGATCGCTCGAGTAAGTTCGTAGGACGTTACTGAGTTAGTGTGTGTGATTGGTTAGGAGCCCCGAGGGCTCGGGAGTGAATTGGAGGTGGTTCGGGGTGTTTTTGGCCTTAGAGTTGTTGCAGAAGTTCTGCTTCTGGTGTTCAGAGAATTTGTTCTCTGCGATCGCGATTCCATTCCTGCGATCGCATAGAGTCTTCTCCAGGCATTTCCAAATTTCTTCAACGCGATCGCATAACTTGTCACGTGATCGCATAGTCTGACCAGTCTCTTCAATGCGATCGCACTCACCTCTACGCGATCGCACAACTTTACACTTCACCCAAAAGTCCTGGCTTCCCTTCTTCTACGCGAACGCATGAATTGTTATGCGATCGCGGAAGCCAAGCTTCCACTCCTCTATGCGATCGCATCAATTGCCCCGCGATCGCATAGACCAAAAGCGCCCAGTTATTTTAAAGCCTAAAAACAGAACCAGTGACGGGATTTCTTCATTCTTTTCACACGGGCTCTCCTCTTAAACACTCCATAGACGAAATTCAAGCTCTTCTTCCTCCCTAACTCTTTGGGTAAGTAATCTTAACATCATTCCCTCATTATTTCTTCATCTAATTACTAATTTCCTAGCCCTAAATCATGATAACAAAGTAGAAATTATGGGTTTTGGGTAGAGTAGGGTCTTGAGAATTTTGGGTGATTCAACCTCAATTTGGGGTCGAATCTTAAAACAAATTATGTATTTGGACTCGTGGGGTTATGGGTGATCGGGTTTTGGTCCGAGCCTCGAGTTTGGACCATGTGGGTCCGGTGTCTAATTTTGGTATTTTTGGAAGAATGCTAGAAAATTCATATCTAGACTATGGGATGTTGCTATTGAGTCTTTATTGATATTATTGAATTAATCATGCCTAGATATCACTGTTTCGGAGTCGAATTGTAGAGGAAAGGCGGTCTTTGAAGGTTGATTGCTATTTTTGGGACCGAGGTAAGTGTCTGGTTTAACCTTAGCTTGAGGGAATAGGAGTTGAGTCTTGTTGCTAATTGCTATGTGATCAAGTACGATGTATAGGCATGGTGACGAGTATCTATATATTGGTGTCTAGCATGACCCTGAGTCCTTAAAATGCGATTATCATGAACTGATTGTGAATTCCATGTTTATTGGAGTATTTCTATATGTTGTGAACTACATGTGAATGATGATATGATAATTTGATTCCTAGGAGCATTGGCTCGAATTGTGATACGAATATTGAAAGTATATGAAATGACTTGTTTCATTGAGGAGCGTCGGCTCCAGTTGTGGAACGAATTGTGAAAGTAAAAGTGAGAAAGAGAAGAGATCATTATGTTACCCTCTTGACGGGCTATTGTTGGGTTGTGATTCCTCTGCATTGTGTTCTTGACGGATACTAGGGTCGCTTAGGTTAATGTTTTCCTTGTGTCATGGGATGACTATAGTTATAGCTGAGGTGGTTAAGTAACATAATAGGCTAGTTATCAATGGGGTGGTTAGGTGAGGTAATCGGTTAGATATAGCTGAGATGGTTAAGTGTGGTCATAGTTTGGGTATAGCTGTGGTGGTTAGATGTTGGAACTAAGGTGGTTATAGTAATCCCCTTGCCGGAATATTTGAGATGATGTTTTGTTCCCTTACTGGAAAGTCGTTATATTGTTGTTTGTGACGGAATATGAGACAAGAAATTTCTTGGAGCTTGGGCTCCAGTGATATCGTGAGATAAGAAAAGTAAGAAAGAGAAAGCGTTGTTGATTATTCCCTTGCCGGGACGTTTGGTTGAACTTGTTGGATTCTTTCCCTTGCCGGAATGTTCGTCAAATATTTGCTTATTTTTATGCCCCTTAATTGTGACTGTTGTTTGGGGGGGGGGGTCGGACTATAAAATGATATTGAGAATCGGGTTGCGCGCCGCAACAACGATATTGAGGATCGGGTTGCGCGCCGCAACAATGATATTGAGGATCGGGTTGCGCGCCGCAATAATGATATTGAGGATCGGGTTGCGCGCCGCAATATTGATATTGAGGATCGGTTGCACGCCGCAACAGTAAAAGGTGAGGATCGGGTTGCGCGCCACAACATTGATACATGAT